ACATTCTCAGGGAGCGAGCGAGGCATTTGCACATGAAGAGCTGAAAATGAGTCGCATTCAGCCAAGCTGTGAGCTCCACCTAGGAGGCAGTGAAAGAGAGCGAGACAGGCACAGAGAGGGGCTGAGGCAGGCAGGCGCCAAGCCTTGAAGAGGGGCATTCTGGTATAATGACTCTCATTTACCATTGACAGGCCTTGGGAAAGTTAAACTAATTATGACAGCACACAGATGCTGAATAGCCCTTGATGAAGTTAATCACTGGCAATCCAACAAACAGGTGTTGCATGATTTCTGTTACCTCCCCTGAAATTATGGGATGTTCACTTTCTTTTCCAGCACACGGCTCAAAGCAACAATCTGCCCTAAATATGCTGTTTTTCATCCCATGATTCTGGCAATTCACTTTAACATTTCTGAATATGAACAATACTTCCAAAACTGGGGAACATAAAACTTGTGTTTCTAACGGTTATGTTAGTCAGACAAAAGGGGAGAAATTTAGTCCTGAGCGGAATGAATACTCACAAACCGTATTTAGAAACAGAAGTGACCCTTTTCCACCCCGACAACAGATGTCAATACAAAAGCAAGCACTACATATATATTCACGCTGTCTGTGAGTGGAATAGCTCAATCACTGTCCGTAGTTTGAATATGAAAACTTAATTAAGCAAGCTTCAGCATGATAGTAGAATGTTTAATCGCTTTTGTCCTCTCCATTTCAGAGTAGAAGACACGATAACACTGTGAACGACCAGATTGGATTAAAATTGCAGCATGTCCTTAAAACGAGCAACATTTGACAGATGTGTTCAATTTACAGTTACCTTGGGATAAATCATTTTCATTTTCTGGAACAACAAAGACTTTTTGTTTCACACGTACACACTCTTTAGACTAATGGTTACATTTCAAGGAGAGCTCTGTTAAGCGGAAGGTGTTCATAACTCATTTATTGAAGATTGGGATTCATAAAACATCCCGTTATGCTGCTCCCAGATCAGTTTTAACAGTCTGAGAGAATGTGTATTAGTTCTAATACGAAACACTCAGCTGAGTGTCTCAAATATGTGTTGAAGTAAACTGGGGCTAACAGAAATTTTCATGCTATATTGATGTGAGAGTATCTTCTAACTATCTGGGTCAGGATTGTCTACTTTTATTTTAAATATTTGTAATATTAATGGGAGCTGTTTGTAAATAATGTATTAAAATCGGGCATAAATATAAATTTTAAGTAAATGTAGATATAGTATATTGACATTTTACAGTATTTGAGAATATTTTATTTCCATGGAGGGGCCTGGGGAGATAGATAAGATGTGTGCGTCTGATCGAGAACCCAACATGACCCAGTTTGTAAAAGTTATAACACTCTTCATGTTAGAGTGAAGTTGAGAGGTAGTCTCTGCCAGTGGTAGGTTCAAATGAAGTTTTCTCCCTTTGTTATGTGAAATTAAATCGTTTTAAATGGCTTTGGGGTTGTCATGCAGTACCTCTATACTCAGTATGGTCATACCATTTAAAAATCAATACTAAAAAATAACCTGATTCCCTTTGAATCTGCACAAAGTGAGAAATGAAATTCAACTTAGATTTTATATTATTGATCCAATTTATTTGGTTTTACTGGCAGATGGATCAGTAACCATAGTAAACAAGTTTGAATATAACTTCTTATTATTGGGCAAACGCAGATCAAAAGACATACACACGAGAAGTTTCACAAACTACTACAAACTGTGAGAGCAATAAAAAACACAAGTGAAATGTAAATATTAGAAAATCATACAAACTCTGCACACAATCTACTGAGTCACTTTTGCATTCCCACAACACTCAGTGAATGCTGGAGGACAAAAACTAACCGAGAGTGCCTGATGAAAAGCATGGCAAAGATTTAGGGCCTGTCCATTTTGTTTTTCTTGTTGTTTTTGCAGTTAAGGGTGATGTGCATAAAGAACTAAGACATCCTGATCGGAATTTCAACAACCATCCTTCAATCTCTCTCTCTCTCTCTCTCTCTCTATCTCTCTCTCTCTCTCTCTCTCTCTCTCTCTCCCTCTCAATATGACTTATGAATTTTTTATTTATTTATTTATTTATTTATTTTTTAAAGATTAAAGGGATAGAAGGCCTGACCAATTAATTTCTAAAGCGACATTATTTGTCACAACCCTCGGCTCTGTGCCCACAGTCCTGTGATTATGTTTTTCAACATAATCAGTGGGTAATTATTTCTTGCATGCTACATTTGATTTTGTCATTTGCATGTTTTATTGTTTGATGTTCACCATATGAAGGAAATTAAAAAGTTGTAGTCACACTAAGAAACACTCTGCGAGAAGAGCTTGTTGTAATGTGTAAAATAGATTTAATTCATCCGTTTAAACATTGTTTTCTTGATTCAGGAAAGGTATCAAATTTAGAGGATGGGAAAATGTAGAATTAACCCAAGCAATGAAAAAGCAAATTAGGGAAGTTTGGACAATGTCACTTTTTTTCTCATGCTGTGGATATCCATATCTAAGTCGACTAATAATTTAAAATGTATGCTATGCAACAATCCTGCCTACGAAGGGGACAACACTACTGCTGCGAGGTGCAATGTCTTGTCCGTCAAGCAGCCTTTAACAACTGAATACTTTACACACAAACCCCTTAGTAAATGAGTGATATTCAATCCATGTACTTATTTAAAAAGATTCAAATGAATTTAGGATCACAAAAGTAGCCTGACTTTTGCAATACGGTAGAAAGTGTGAGGAACAGAGAGGCTTTGAATGAAAAGAAAAAACCTGTCTGTTAACAAATATCCATTCATTTACTTTTTATTTAGATGACCGTAACAGCAGTATTTACACTATATTTACTACTGAAATAATATCTTCTTCTCATGATAATGTGAACAATAACATACGGAATAATTATCAAACAGTTCCCAAAGTTGTAAGATGTCTCTTTACTTGTGATGATGATGATGTTAAAAAGGATGAATGGATGTTTGTATTTTCCTTGAAACAGACATCAGGAAGTGTTCAACAACAGGCTGAACCTCAGTCGTCTCTTTACATATCTCTGTGGCTTTAAAGCTCCTGACAACGGCTAAACCTTACAACCATGTGTATTAAAAAACTGAAACAGGCCTTCCACCTCGGAGAATTCACTAAGACGTCAACATGCTGACTGAGCAACAGCGAGCAACTCACTAATGGAAGCTGTTTAATTTTATTTTGCTCTAAAAATAATTCCCTGTGCATTCGTCCTCTGGAGAGAAGGGAAAGAGCAGGTGTGTTCTTGGGATATATGAAACTCGGTGACTCTAAAAAAAAACCTCGTAAATTCATGCACCCTGTACTCACTATGCACTTATGGTCTACTGCTGAGTGTGTGTTTTCACAAACAAAGTTCATGAAACATTTAAACAATACAATATGTGCTGTGATGCTGTTAGGCTGTACCACAAATATAATGTTTTGCAATTTGTGTTGCAGTCCAGTCTGAAGCACCTTTCCTCTAGATCAGATGTTTTCATGATTCAAATATTTTGTTTTTCCAAGATTGCACCACGCGTTCGGACGAGCTGACATGTGATGACACGAAAACAGCCGAGGCAATGTGAATTCATTATGACAATTATTGCATTGTTTAAGCACTTGCCTGTCCCTCATAAATGAGTTCAATTTCAGCATGGAACAGATAGCTTTCCGTTTATTTATTCATTGAAAAACAATGAGAAAAGCATTCAGCGCACTTCAACCTATTCTACCTGATAATAAAAGACGTTATAATATTATGTGATACTTGAATTCACTTTTTAAACACAGTTGGTTCTCCATCCTGCTGTCAAAATGTGCAATTTCAAACTGTTAATGTTTATTTCAGATCAAGTTTGACTTAGAAAATAAGCTCTGGTATAAATATCTATTCATTTACAGAGTTTTGCAGAGACTCATACATTCCATAATGTTTTATTACAATATTTCCAATTCATTACTCATATCCTATATATAAACCATACATTAACTCCATGCTCATGCTGGAGATGGTTAATGTCTAATTCCACTGGCTTGACAAAGAAGAGATCCTCACATAAAGAGGAAACTGTGTAGACAAGTTGAACCACGGATAGCCCCACAGAATGATAAAGAGAGGGCGGACGCACAATAGAGAAATAATTAGGACAAGGCCACCAGTGCATGAATCCTTCCACAAGCACTCAACTGTGTCAAACAGCTTGGTCAATAATCTTCAGCAATTCCTGAGGATTAGAGTCTTATTACCGAGCACCGTCTGTCACACAGACCTCTGTGCCCGAGCACAGTCACTTCCTGACTGTTTATTCCGGATTCCCACAAACAAATCATCACATTAGAGGTGAATATGATTCAGAGTGGGGTCTAGTTTGCGAATGTCTTATGAAGTTTTATTTTCCTCCCATGTGTTGTTTACATGTTGTATCTATGGCCATATGTTGATGTGTGTGTGGTGGTGTGTGTTTTTGCACTAAGAGCTATATAAAGTGGTTTTATAAGCTGTGATTTACAATCAACTGTTACGTAATATTCTATGGTCGAAAATGGAAAAAAAATGTCAAAATCTCACCCTTAAAATAGCCTGTACAGGTTGAGCCACTTGGACATTTTTCATTTCTTTTTGCTTCTTCTTTAATATTTAAATAATCTCAGTAGTAGAAGGAAAAAGTAATATTTTTGTGCACATACTCATTGGAAAATCTCTGTGGTCAACTTTTTGAGCAAGCAATATTGTTCTTTCTTGAACCCTAATGAAAAGATATCAACCAACATAATAAAACATTAATATCAAATAAACCTATTGATAAGTAATCCACTGTGCTTTCCCTCTACATACACACTTGTAGATCTGACATTAGTGAACCTGGTGTCACAGCGCAGCACTCGGTTCTGCCCTCGCCTCGTATAGTTTGAGAGTACACGAAACAATCCCCACAAAGTCCACATAAGACCCAAGTTCCTTACCTTGTGCGTGGATTGTGGCCACGGCAGCAGCGAGAACCAAAACCGCCAACAGTCTCTTAAATTGACAGTCCTGTCTCACACACATGTCTAAAGTCGATGTGGGATCTTCTCCGCGAGGCTACAGAAACACGTCCTTGTGTTGAAAAAGAATACTTCCAGGGCTGAGAAATAAAAAGAAGAAAGAAAACAAGCAAAGCGAGGATTTTAACGTTTACAAAAACGCGAACAGAGCCGTGGGGGTTTGCCGTTGCACTTTCCGGTCGATGTCAGCGGGGTGAAGACAGCCGAGAATAATCAAGTGAAACGCGGAGGTCCCTGTTTAATTTGGACGCTCAGTAAGCGGATTCGTGTCTGTGTGAGCAGGCGGCACATGGAGAGAGCAGACAGCGAGCTTCAGCACCGCGGACAGCTCCTAGCGACAGCTCAGGGAACAGCCTCTTACAACTTCGTTTTCCCACAATAATTCTGCCCTCTTTCCCTCTTATATAGGCATCTATTTTCTACCATCACAGGTAGGTTATGATAACGTGCTGTAGTGTCTTCCCTTACATTATTTGATCTCTTTGAGACCAGTATCTTTTTTTTAAGACAAGAGAAAGCATGAACAGTATGAAAATGAGGGGGGAAGCTTACAAGCAGCTTTAATTTACTTGTTTTTTTTCCTTGTAAGGCATATTGGTATTTTGATGCAAAACTCCATTTATAAGGAGCAAAATTGTAAATAAAACAACAACAAAAACCTGCTTATACTTTATGCAATCATGGAGCTTAGATGATTTGGCAGTTTTTGGAGTAGCTTTATGGATGCACTGTGATCAGTGAATATCCCCTCTCTAAGTGCCAGTTTACCTTTTCATTAAGGACTCAGTGGAGATTGATGAACATATTAAATATATAAAAGTATAGTTCACTTTGATACAAAATGCTCCACGGTGGAGTTAAACACATGCATGTGCAGAGAATCAAAGATTGAACATTGGTGTTAACAGAAACCAAACTTCATTTGTTCACTACACAAGTTTGTTTTTTCCCATCAGGAGCTCTAAATGGACCTTGAATGGGATCACTGGTGTGTTATTAATCCACCTATCTAATTATTCTATCATTTCAATGCCACTACCTGCAATACTTTTAACTTTAAATTTTTACTGACCTTAAATTTAGCATATACTCCTCTGACTACTCTTTTAGCGCTCCTGCGTCACAACTCGCGATTTCTTTTTCTGTACGTTTATTTTTGTCCCATTTCCAGACCCTGCTGTGCATGACGAGCCCTGAGGGAAGACTTTCCTCAGGTGCTGGAAATAATCATGCCATGCTCCGAGTCTCTTAGGTCACCTTTTTTTTTTATCTGTCCCTTTGCTTGGTTCACTTTATGTCTCAGGGCTGTATCTATTTTCCACTGATGTATCGTCTGCACGGTGCTTGCAGGAGAACTCGACTTTAATGAATAAAGTGCTGGTCTTCAATTGGTTACAGCGGGTAAGGCATAACCGGCAAATACAGTATGTTGTCGGTGGAGCAAAGGGATACAAAACTGTGTCAGAGATATAATAAACAATAACAAAATCCTAATGACTTGGGTTTATTCTCTAGTATTTGCAGAAAGTGACCTATCCGGAGTAATAAGCCTCTGCTGTACCAGCTCTAAGGGCTGACCTTTGACCTCCCTGTGCATCAGCAAGTGAAAAGATCAATAGGACATGATCATTTGTAAAAACCAGAGTCTTACACTCACTTTTCCATTTCTTATAAATGACATCATCTTCCAGTCGTAGCATGACAAAAGTGATTTTACAGAAATTACAGTGAATACGTTTATTGAAATATTCTTCAACTTATGACATTAAAATAATGAAAAAGTATCACTAGATACTATCTGCTTTGCTTATCATTACACCCCCTTTATTTATCTAGGTCATATTAGCCTGATTTAAAAGAAAAAAGGCTTCATATAGGCAGGGAAATAATTGCAATGTGCCCACATTATGTTCATGCTGACAGAGGATTCTACATAAGTGATGCATGAATAATAACGGGTACAAATACAGAAATGTTTCAGTGTCTACATGAAGATAAAAGCAATAAAATATCCTGCTATTCAGGAGGGGTTTTCTGCTTTTGTGTTGCAATGTGTCAGTTTTCTTAAATGAAGACCATACAGACATGTATTTAGAGGCAGTCTGTTGTGCAAGACACTATCAAAATCAAAAGCAATTAGAAGACCCGGATAGAGATGGAAGTGGGGGAGGGGGAGGGGGATTAAAAGCGCTGGAAAAGAACCAGAGTCAGACTCCATTGAAGATGCTGAAATGTCGTGTAAGCAGATGCTATTTCAAAACAGCACCACTCGCTCTAAACATAAAAGGTTCACAAACGCTTAACAGTTATGGAGTTATAGCATCCCACAATAAGCCAGGTGTGACGGGTTATTATTAGTGGATGGATGAATCTCACACATCTTCACACTCTCTGTCACACCTTTGGCCCTCAAGTCTCATCTCACTTAGCCTGGTGGTAATCTCACATCATAAAAGGTCTGTATGTGTCTTGGCAGAGGAAAAGTAATGCTGTTAAGGTAAATGAAATATAACTGCATTTTTGAGTACTTGTAGTTTGTTAATAGTAAATTATATTTCAAGATGTTTCACCATTTTTATTTGTCTAAGGTCTTATCACACAGTCTTGTGCTCCTCTGTGTCTCAATCTGTGATCAATTTTAAATCTGTAATGGTACATTTTTGACTAAATGTTAAGTATAGCCTATAGTTAAAATATACTTTTCTTGTTGGTTTGTTTGATTTGTTAAGGACCCTCTTGGTTCTAACAGGATCATGGCACTTTTTGATTCTTGAACAAATCTATAAAAAAAAACTCTGTGACAGCCAAAGTCCAGTAATTCAGTGACTGGTTGCACGCACTTTTTTTCAGTGTCACACAGAGAAAATGTGTTCTAATAATTTAAAATTATATGTTCAAATTGGTAAAAAGTTAAGGTGCCAGTGAGAATATTGAAAAATGAAATTAGCATAGGTTCTTCTTTATTATCTAACGTGTGTGTGCGTGCGTGCGTGTGTGTGTGAGCTGATTTTTTTGTGGGGAGGGTGAGCCCCAAATAAAAACTAAAGTTATATCTCGTCACACCTTACATATAAAGCATGGATCCATGTCTTTAAATTATATTTATTGCAGAGAACTAGCATTAATAAAACATAAACAAGCAGTAGGCAACATTGGCAAAGACAACCATGAGCAGAACCAGATTCATTGGTGGATAGCCATCAGCCCTAACCTGCTTTATATATTTGGTTATGTTAAAGAAAGAAATATGTCATTGTCACTGCACACAGACTTATTTTCTACTCTCTTGTATTCTCGTTGTTTCTTTTGTCCCTTTTTTCCACGTTGACTTTTTTTCCAGCTTCCATTTGACTTTGTCTCACTTTGCCTCCCCACTGCTGTCGCTGCACCAGTGTCTCTCTTTTTCATCTAAATTTATCTCTCTGTTTCCCTCCACGTCCTCGACTCCTTACATCACTCGCATACTCCCTCTGGCCTGCCTCAGAAAAGACTCTAATAGTGCAACTCTCCCTTCACTGAAGCTCTGTGGAGCCATAAAGCAGCCCTTAGGTCTGGTTGGCAGCCAGATGGTTGCAGCCAAGCTTTCATTCTGCTAATGGGTAGGAGGGCAGAGCAGTTAATGAAAATCAGACCCTTGAAATGAAATGACCAATGTAGCAAGGTAATGAGGCACACATCGGCAGCGAGCCTTTACAAGCATTAAGGTAATATTAGATGGCAGCATTATGTTAAAAAACATCTTATTATGAGTGTTCATTGGATTGCTAAGGACTGATGATTACGCATGTTCTGCTAACAAACACACTCCTCCTGACTCATTCTGTCTGCGATATTCAGATTGACTGGCTCGCCTAAGTGCTTCATCCGAGCAGCGCTGTGTGCCAAATGCTATCAATGAGTCGTCTTCCCACATAGCATTACATCCATTACAAATTACAGCTGAGATTACAGTGTCACACAATAACGGTATCACAGTCACAGGACTCACATTTTTTTGTGGAGGATGGTATCTGAATTTGAAGGAGAAAATATAATGACTTTTAACCAGAGTGTTTAGTAGAGGGATTAAATAGTTTCACTAATGCACCAAGTTGAGCCTTCGACTTTTGTTATTTTCTCATATTTCATTTTGTGGGATTTGTTTTGTCTTTGCAGGGGTTTTAAAAACATATCATTTCTTATCAAGTGCTACAAACGGTCTCTAACTATCATTAAATAGTTGTAAAAAATCCAAAGATCATGAAGAATGGAAAAGCTGCAGTTACCGTTTATGTTTGTAAAGGCGAGATTGTTGCAGACGTTTTTATTGATTTCTCACAGTTTCCTTTTTGTCTGTTGAAATCTAAATGTTAAATTTTTTTTAAACCAATTTTCTGGAGAGAAAAAAAACAATTTAAAGTAACAGACTGTGTCTCATATCAATGTTTTTTAAAGAGTTTATATTGTATTTCTCTCAATGTAGATATGATGTACCTTGATGTTGTCAGTGTCCGCATCAGATTGGTTTATGTAAGAGCAAGCAGAAGGCTTCTTTTTTTACAGAACAATGAAGTTACAATTGTCAAATAATCTTCATTGTGACTAGATAAGAGAAAGATGAAAATCTTTGATCTTTTGCATCGTAGCATGCTAGTTCAGGTATGCATATCCTGTTTATGATGTGTATTTGTGATCTTGTAGACTTTAGTTGATTGAACCGTTATCTGCAGTTAAATGTGATTCAAGTTGAACCACAGTCTGTAAAACCTCACCTGAGAATGAACAGATAGAAAAGGATAAACAGGCTGAGAGAGGTGGACAAAGGTGGACTTCTTCTCGTCTCTAATATGCTGCTGACCTCCAACTGACAAGAAAATATTTTTCTCCACAGCCTCAACATAGTACTTATAGAGAGTGTTAAGTGATGAGGAACACCTAATGAGGAATGTAAAAAAAAAAAATACATTTTGCTCAAACAAGAAAATAACTGCTTACTTATGAAAAAAAAAAACGAACTTGTGACCAGTTTTGATGATAAATATTTGGTGTCTTCGCTAGCCCACGCCTGTATTGAAAATAAATAGTTCAGTGTAATTCGCAGCATTGTGCTGTCTTTCCTCGTCTCCCCCTCCCCCCTTTGTTGTGCTCTTCCTCTTGCTAGAGCCCACTTAATTGCACATTCCTCATTACCATGTATTGGAAGAGAGAGCTCCCTCAGAGCAAGTCAACTGCACAGTAGACAGTTTTTCAAAGCTTTCTGTACACATTTTTCTGCAGAAGAAAAGGAAGAAGGAGGGGGGGAGGGATTAAAGGCGCTGACTGACCTTTGACTTCCAATTATGAATTTCACAAACTGCTTCATGGATTTTATATCAGATGGGTTCCTAGAGGAAACAGTTCTCTTAGCTGTGGTAGTGGGATGGTTGTTGTCCTCCGTCTGAGTGCCAACAGTGAGAATAGAGTGGATGCGACCCCAAAGACGGAGTAGCATCTGTTAACCCCCCTGATCATTGCTTCTATCTGACGGCAAGGCTGGAGCAGCGTCTGCCCAGTCATGCGGGACCCTGCCAATAGATTCAGCAGACTATGGTAATGAGCCCAAAAGGATTCCCAGGCTCAGCGCTGTCACTTTGACAACTCCAAAATTAACTCTGGGCTGGAGATTTTTCTCAACACCTGCTGTAATAACGTTCAAGATAGGATGAATATGTCAGTAATGCAGGTACAAGAAAATTAATGTAACCCCGCTTGTCAAATGTAATTAGAGCCGTAGTGACACAAATATGGTGCAATGGATGTTTTTTAAAGGGTGAAGCTGGAAATAATTGCAGCAGTAAGAAACCTCACGACAAGGTTCTCGGGTGGCTTTGTCGGGTCTCGTCTGAAGATGGAGTTTCTGTCCTTAAGTATAATAGAGTTAGCAGCTAGAAGGGTTTGTAACACTTACTGTACTTTACACACAATGCAGAACAAACACCACACACACACTCCCACACTGCAGGATGTTACAAACGGGAAATTTGCGTTTTCTTCCCCGACACACAAACCTTTCATGTCGCATGTGACACCCTGCCCTGTACTTTTACAACCACATCTCTGTTCACCCTTTCCTCCCCTTATTCAGCACGTTATGTACCTCCCCTTCCCTTTCCTCCCTCCCTCTCCTTGACCTTCTCTTTTCATTAGTCAGAGTGTGTCTCATGCCCCTGAGCGTGCTGATAGTGCACTGCTCCAAGGCTGCATTTATCAAGATGATAAAGCACTCGCAGACAACAGCCAAGTATCTCAAGGCTAGTGGCCGCCGTACCTGACAAGTGACAACAAGTCACACAAACAGCTCCACCTCCGATATCCTCCTCTGATCTCCCTCCTCCCTCCCTGCATCACTCCCCCTGCTATCATAGTCCATATACCATTTTTAGTTGGTCACAAGTTGTTGCCTTGTGTCAAACGAGTCCCTAATGAGAAGTTAAGTGCAGATGAAGGTGAGGTGACTGCACAAGACAACAGATCTGCCCCCTGCCTACGCATACATACACTTTCCCGGCACACACACACACACACACACGCACACACTGCTCAAAGCATGCAGATATAAAGACCAAATACTACATAACTGTTCTTAAAGCTACAGTACTGTGTGCAATGCTCAGCTGGTTTTGAAACAGAGTGAAATGAATACTGACGCCTCTATACAAGCTGTACAAGCAAAACAAACTATCAGTGACAAGTTTTAATATTTCTGAATAGTTAAATGCCTATAACCGCTAGAACACTTTCACCGCAGGGGGCGCCAAAACCAAACCATGTGAACTTTTTACCTCCAAAATTTTAACACAAAAATCCTATATGCTCTCCTTTTTATATATACTCTGTTATTTCTATTTAATGTATTTTGGGGACTGAGTAATTATTATTTGATTTGCTATCATTGCACACCGCATTTCAAACATAAACACTGATTTTGACCTAAATTGATTGGACAACACCACGTAACGCAAAATATTCCTTGGTGTATCCTCATGTTCATATCATGAAGAATAGACTAAGCATGACAAAAACAACAGAAAAGATGTGTTAAGATGTGAAATACAAAACATATATATATCTGATATATAAATGCTTAAATAGTAGAAATGTAATTCAGGGGACTTTATCCTTGTACTTGTATAGTGTGATAATATTTCACACCCTGCACTTTTCCAACATCCATCTTTTCTTCTACCCGAGTGAAAAATGTAGCATACTGTTAAACCCTGCAGGTCCTGACTCTCACAAATGCCAGTCTCACCACTTTAGCTGCAGCTTTCATCTCTGCCTGCCGCTCAACCCCCTCTCTTCTATTCAGAGGCCGTTTCCCTCTCCAAACCATAAAGGTGCTGTCCGCCTTAAGAGAGCCGGCCGGGGCTCCAGCCGGCAATCACTGCACAACTCTCACACTCAAGTCTGACAAATGGAAATGATGTTATTCTCCTCAAAAGGTATTAGCAAGGACTCTGACGGGAGGCAGTAGGCGAGTTTGACAATTGTTTTTTTCTTTTTTTTTCACAACTCTTTTCTTGTTAAATGTCATTTTGACATTTTGTAATATTAAAACACATGTTCAATTAGAATTCAAAAGTCTATTGTTCATAGAGGGACATTTTTAATGAAAGGGCTTAAAAGGCAATTTTACTTTATTTCCACAGACTTTGATTTCTTTTGTTCCTTCGAGCTAAAATTTGCTCATTCTCTTTCTCTTACACACACACCAACACACACATTATGCAAAGAAAATCTGCCATATAGGCTTCATTCTGCTTATCAACACTGTCGTTTTGTACACTGGCATTTGTTGCCTCTTGTGCTGACACAGCATTATTCACAGCATTATTCCTTTTTACATCCATGACAATGAAAACCAAAAGCAATGAAACTTCTACAATGTGATATTTCTATTATTCTTGTTTGCAGGGTGCACGTCACAGATGAACAAAAGGCCTAGGTTTAAGGATTCAGCAAGTCTTACTGTTTATATGACAAGTGCAAAAACAAATCTGTTGTCATGGATTTACCATCTTTTGTAGATACAATAAACAATGTCTTATATTTCTAAATGAAGATCAGTTAAAGTCAAAGGAAGTTTGTAAAGAAAGATGCTCTGAAGAACCTTTCTGAAACAGTGCAATAATAGCAATCTAAAGTGAGTGCTTTGAAACGCAATTTCTTGAGATATTGAGAGTTCTCAGATGGCTCACTCTTCCACACGTCTGACTAGAGCTGAAGGCTGGGATGATGGCTGCACAGAGGTAATAGAGGACCTCTTTGAAGTGTTTCTCAAATACCAAATGTCAAGGAGGATGGATGGTCATTCTATTACTCTGTTTTTTTTTTTTACCATCTTCTCCAAGAGCTGCCAGGTTAACAGTGCTGCTGTCTGAGTGACATCTGCAGAGAAATAATTTAATTCATTATTCATGTTTATATTTTTTTTAAGCATGGCTGCAGAATTTAAAACAGAGAAACTTGTAAGGTCGGTAAGCACTTGACCCTTCTGAAGCCTTTTTATTTTGCTGGCTTCATATCACGATAGCAATGTTCTACTAATCAAAGGTCCTTGTAGCGATGAGATGGGGGTCTTTTGGGATAACTTCACACCTTCAATCTGTGCACTATACTGTAGGGCTAAAAAAAAAAATGCTTCATTGTAGTGTTATCATGTTTTCATGACACGAGTTGTAATTTTTCAGATGGATCTGAAAGGACAATTGTTAGTACGAATTTTCATGAATTCATACATTTTGGTAACTTTGTGAATGAACCATTTAAATCTGTCTACCATCTAAGAGTAACTCTTCTCTTAGGTTGAAGCTGTAACCATATCTATGTAAAACATTTCATAGCATCAGAGTTATATTTGGTTTGGAGCCAACTGTCTGTCGTAAGCACAGTTTACTGAGAATTAAATGTATATTTTTTTGGCATTTCAAATCAGGCAGGCAACTTGCATCCTCTCTGTTGCCAACTGAGTGGCACCATGGTTGTTGTATTTTTGTTGGCTTTAGCCATCTATATAGTTTATGGTTAAGCTTTATAACACTTTCCCCACCTTTTCCAGTGGCGGCTGTGGCTCAGTTGGTAGAGTCAGTTGTCTTTCAACTAGAGGGTTTTGGTTTCAATCCCCAGCTCCTGCAGCAACATGTCCGATGTGTCCTTGTGTTACGCCCCACCATAAGGTGGCCCTATGGGGCTAACAGCAAACCATACATTGACCCATTAAAAGACACTAACCACCTTAACAAAAGTCAAAACAAAGGGATTCTTTAAAATATGACACACTAAATGATAACAAAGATCAACAGATGATCAAAAGAGAAACAAAAGACAACAGCCAATCCCTGACTGAGCAGCACAACAGTCCCAATTCATAATGCCTCTCATCTCTGCAGCCAGTACTGGCCTTTTAAGCACTGAGGCCAGGTGTACCTCGTTGTGCAATTAGTAGCTTCACCTGGGCTGGAGACAACAGAAGGGGAGAAGGGACATACTTAACCCTGAATTGGTCCCGCTGCTGGGTCAGCGTCATGTGTATGAATTGGATTAGTTACTTCTGATGGTAACTTTACATAGTAACCTCTGTCATCAGTGTGTGAATAGGTTGGTGTGACCTGAGGTTTAAAATCACTTTGAGTAATCAGAAGACTAGAAATGCACTATACAAGCTCAAGTCCATTTACCATTACCATTTACCCAACAGCCAAATCACTGATCAATTGATAAACACAACTCATAACTTGGTTTATGTTTGGTTCTTGGAATCTTCTTAACTATACTTTGGCAACCTTAACTTTGAAACCATGCTTTTCCAGTTCCTTTGTAATGTCTCATTATCTGGCTCATGACAATATACTTTTAAAAAGATGGTGGGCCATTAAAGTTAGATTTTGCTAAGTTAGATGATGTTATCTGCAAATTGTGAGTATGCAGTTTAACATTGGACAATAACAACTTTGCAGTTTTATTTTAGCCAACCATTTTTGTTATAAATTAGAAATGTTAATTTTTAATCTTTTAAATAATTTTGCTGTTAAAGCCTAGCATTACAAATAACATCACTAAAAGCATTCACCGCTTCTAATTGTAAAAATTCCCTTTTCACACAAACTAAACTTTTGGTATTTTTATCTTGAGTTAACATTTCACCTCCCCTGCTCCTCCTCCCTGCACACACAGGCTCTGCTTTCCACTCCTCCACTGTGTAGATGCTTAACTGTCACCTTTGTCAGTCCTGCTGCATGTAAACTGACTGCTGAGTCAAAGACTACAAAAACCTCTCAAGAATTCTGCAGTAATATCTCAGGGTCGTGACTACTCTGGTGTTTGCTTTATATTTCTAGCTAGACTATTTTCAGTGTATATCACTGGTCACACTGTATGTAGCGCTATCTAAACTTACTCTCATAGGTCCCCCTGATCTTTCAACAGAAAATATCTCATCCTGTATGGTAGTGTTTTGCCAGCTGTATTTATTTGTTTCATGCCTCATTATTTCCTTTAATATTCCTCCACTGTGTGTGGACTAATGGCCTCCTTGTGTTAGGCTGTAAGTTAGAGTCAACAGGAGCATGATCTGGACTTCTTTTTGTATGTATTTATGTCTTTTTGTCCCCTCTACTTCTTATTCAAAAAGAACTAAAAACCCTGCTCGGTGTGTTTGGCTTTGCGTAAGATGTGGACGAGACTGTAGGAATCACAGCACAGCTGAGTAAACATCATTAGAAGGAGCCTGTTTTCCAATTACAGCGAGCGAGAAACAGAGAGAAAGAAAAGGGGAGAGAAAAGCAACAAAGTTTTATCTGATGAAATACTGAGATAAAGATGTATTTTCTCCTTCTTCTTCTGGTGTTGTTTGAGAGACCCTATTGTCTGTGATAGAATAAACAAAGAACAGCTGAAATCACATGTCAACACAGGAGATTAGATTGCACAATACAGAAACAGGGAAAATATTTTTTTCTTAAAGTTGTGTCTCAAACACTGTTTTGCTTTTTCTTCAACGTAGAAGACACAGATTCAAACAAATGTCTCCTGTTTCCTTATCTGTTTTCATCCTGCATGAACTACTGTTTGAAAAACCAACAATAACAGTAACCTCAATGATATAATACTGTACATGGATGCATCCGTGTGACTTGAGGCCTGACATTTCACTGATTGATTTATTTTTAGTTCTGCCTCATTGCTTTCCTCAGAGGTCTGTGTCTTATATTGCAGGATATATGACATTACAAAGATCCTCTTGTAAGAGATTATTGTCTGCAAATGATAACAGCGCCTTCAATATTCATCGGAGCCATGCTGGTCTTTATTTGAACCCATATTCGTCCCTCAACAGCCAATATCCCCGTGCCCTTGAGCAAACAACTTCACAGCCAGCGCCTGCAGCAAAGCAGTGGGAAGTGTGATTGTTGTGAGAAGCTCCCAGGTGTGACTGCGTATGAATGTAGATGTCGTTAAAAAAAAAAAACAGTCAGGAATCTGTAAATCTTCACGGGAAAAATACTCTCTCAAATGGAAAAAAAAAAAGGTTGCTTTCCTGTTCGGAGTTCTTGACAGTGCCTAGCTGAGGCCATGACCTTCTGCAAGTTGACTCTGACCTCGCTGTGCAGCCTCAGCTGAAGGGGTGATCAGCAGTGTTTTGCTGCTTAGGAGTAACTGCTTTGTTCCTGCAAGGCCTCGACTCTGCTTGAAGGGTTGAAGCATGAGTAGATCTGACCTGACTGGACTTAAGAATTTATACTAAGACTAAGAATTTATACTTTCCTTTACCTACACTTAAGTTAGTTAAAAAAAGGAATGCTTTTTTTGGTTGTTCTTGCAATTGTTTCTGATGATTATTGGACATAGTTTGACAGACATATGGAACATTTTTGTTTCAACTCAGTTTGTGCATTGGTCAACTGTTTATCTGCTTGTGTTAGATAGTGGAAAGCTACATAAAAATCAATAAGCAACTTTTTCTACAATGAATACATATGCCTGCCTGAGGCCATACAGTAGCACATATCACATGTACTGTAACAGCAAACGCAATTCAATAAAAATACGGCAAATACTCCCTGAGCAGATGTTTTTAAAGAATAGAGACCCCTCTATCCATTCACAGAGGAACCAAACAAAATCACATTGTACGTTTATGTTGGAAAGGACCTTGATGCGTGGAAGTAGAAGGCGGTTTCCACTTACAATAGACATAATAAGTAATAGTATTGATATGCATTGATGGCCATTGCATAAAAATGTCAACCATGAATAGTAGTAAATGGGGCTTGATTTCATGTTCATCTTTCTGACCAAGTTTTAAAGCAGGAGAGCTACATCATTTTGCATGCAATCCATAAGGGCGACATCAGCATAATCCATGGGGACTTGGCTTGATTACCTGAGGATCCCTGGTTCAAGTCACACACCAATCAGTACAGAGTATGGACTGGGAGCTCTAGAGGTTGTCTGCTCAGGCTGACTATGTTGCATCCCACTTGCCTTGAAATCATTATGTGTAGGTAATGTTTGCCCGTGTACATTTTAGGCCTGTGCGTAAAACAGCAGGATGAAAAACAGATTTTCCATTGAGGTCTTGAATAAGCATTTCTTCTGCTTCTTTTTCTCTATTTCCTCATATCTCTGTGAGCTGTTGAGTAAAAGTAAGCCAAAATATAAAAAGTAAGTGAAATCGTTTTCTTTTGCTTTTCTTTTTCTATCTCAACAGAACCATGATGGCTTGCCATTGTTGGACGACAACCTTATATCTCAGGTATGTACTCTCTTCAGAGGTGCACACTGCACCAACAAAGACACCAAATTCAATGAATGGCGAAATGTTAACACACTGAATATAAAAATAGTGCTGTAGTACTTGAGATCAGTCTTGTTCACAAGACAGTGCAGCTGAGCTTTTGTCATTGGCAGTGGTATTCAATGTGCAAATGTAGTTAGCGTAGTGTATTAGAGGACTGCAGTGTTAACCTGGTGGAGTGCTTGACTTGCTTTCAGTCCCACAAAGGTTTTGTTTTTGTCTAAGGCTGGACTCTAGTCTCAACACTGAATAAAATACCAATTGAATACAAAGACATTTACTGAGATCCAAAGAACCCCCCTGAATCTGTCTGAAAACCAATAGAAAAACGTTGATAAGTGTAAGACAGGTGGTGTTTGGAGCTCTAGTCTCACCACTGGGTGGATGTACAGGGTGCAGCCTGTAGAGGTGAGTGGGGATGCAGGAAAAGGCAGGAGGAATAAAGTGACCTGGGGGCTGCAGCAGAGGGGGGTGATAATAAGGAATCCATGTGACTGACTCAGAGTGATGGGCTTACCTGTCCATGAATATTTCAGCCTGCACTGAGGTGTGTTATTACGGCTCAGTGGGAGCACTCACAACATGGGGCGAGACATGTGCCATCACAAGATAGGACAAACAAACACACACACACACACACACACACACACACAATGCAATTTGTTCCACTGTTCAGAAAGAGCACATTTAAAATTGCTCATTCATGCTGAATAGCTGAATAGCAAAATGTTTTCATCAACCAACTAACAAAAGCATCTTCCACTGACATGCTCCCTTAAATCGATACACTAACTAATCAATAAGCAACGAAAGGTTTACACACTATCGAAAGAGAAGCTCTGCAAGTGGAAAGAGTAAAATAAATCCATGTGCAGCATTTTACTCCAGTTGGAACAGTCTCCCTATGTGAGGAAGACGATTAAATAAATATTCTGTTTACACGTACTGGCTGCCCTGGGGGTCTGCAAACCAGTGCAGCAAAGCAGCTTCACTCAGCCTGCTAACAATCCAGAGCCCGTGGCCATGCTCGTATATTCCCTCCATTATTTCACCAGTGTCTGCCTCTCGAGCCACCATCACAGCTGCAAAACATTGTGTGGAGATGAGACTGTCATAGAGGATAATGATGTGGAGGCCTGTGCTGTGTTAGAGAAACCAAACAACTGATGAGGAAGGCAATTTAAATATGTCCGGTATAGTGGGAGTATTTTTCTATATGCGGCATCCTTCATATGCAATGCCAACAGCACATGGACATGGAGGGAGCTTAAAGGAATGAAAGCTTTACACAACTTATAGCACCACACTGTGGCCTTGTTTTTTTTTTTTAACTGCTCAAACTTATTCTCGGCTATAACCTTGAATAAAGTTTGTTGACTATAATTCAAAGCCTTACTATAAAATGATATTAAACCACTAAAGAATCACTGAAAACATGAAAAACTGTGACCCCTGTGTACTCAGAAAGCAGCATTTTCATATTTCAAGATGTGTACATTTCGAGATGCACCATGTGTCTTGTAATTTGGTTTTTGGCATCATGATACTTTGTCAAACAGAC